ATGAATCAACAAGAAAATGCTTCAACACAACTTTTTATTCCTTTATTCTTTTTTATTATTTTATTTCTACTACTTTTAATATTTTTAAATAACTTGTTTTTAACTTACACTTAATTTTTATTGTTGTCCTTGCATGTGATTATGGATTACAATGAATCATTATCTCATTTAATTCAATTACATGAGGTTTTAATCACTGCTAGTAAACCAGGCTTGCAGAATTGTCATTGGTACTTACAGATGCATGCAAAGCAAAGTGGACAGTTGTTTATCGCAATGCTTGTGGAGAGCAGTGTGTAATACCAATTTAGGCTTTTGCCAGACTCATTTTGTGTGGGGTAATTGGCAAAAAACTATAATAAGCTGTTTTCATTCTCAGCATCTTGGTGGAAAATAAGTTGCCTGAAGAGAATTTAAAAAAAGCTAAATTAATTGCATGCTGTATGTGATTTGCTTGTTATTCAGCTTGAGTTCAATATTGATCCTTGAGTATTTCTTGTGATCCCTATTATATGTAATGATCTAGCGTACAAATAGCCCTACATCAGTAATTTTGTCATAATATCTGATTTATAAAATTGTCTCTTGAGATATCCATTACCTCGCTTAATCAGACATGTTATTATGTCATTAGCCAACACAGCTGATCAAAACAGAGTTTATTTTCATAGTGGCAGCACTATTCCAGTCCTGCATGAAATCAAAGGCACATGGAGAATTATAATTTTAAACAGAATCAGAAGATTCACTGCTTGAGGAAGGTGTTGCAACATCTGAATAACTTCAGGTGCTCCAATGCCTGTTATGTTAATTTGTGTACTGTGAGAAGAAAAAAAGAAAAGTAGTTATACTTTATTTAGAATATATGAAAAACAAGTATTTTATCTGAGACTGTTTTGTCATATATTCTAAATATTTTTAATTTTGCTGACACTTCAAAACAGAGGGAGATCTTTCAAAACTGTGCTGGTTACACAAAAAGTCAGATATATCATATACTACAGAAAAACTGTGGGAAAACTCTGTGTAATGCCAAATATTTCCCAGAGAAAAGATAGAGCCCCCAACAGCTGGAAGTATTGTGGCTTCTACTTGGAAAAAACCCATTCCTGAGCTGACTTTCCACCTCCCTTTCTGTAGAAAAACAATAAATGTTAATGTAGTTGGTGTGATGGATGGCTCATGTTTTCTTGTTTGTCACACAGGGCCTGTGCATGGTATTTGAAAAATGAAATAGGATCAGTTGCAAACCTTGTTTCATATTTTAAGTCTCTTATGCACAGAGGATCTGTTTCATTGGTCTGGGAGAATGATGGGCAACAACCCTGGCCACTGATCGGGAGAGAGCAAGGCAGATAACAGAGTATCCTTGAAAAGCAAGGATGCTGTGCTTGCACCTTGTGACATATGTACAGTTACACTAATAATTGATGTGTATTACTATATATTAATGGGAATAGTTTGAGTTTTATTATTATTTAAAATAAGTGGTGTTTGAGGACGTGCAGAAGGGAGAGGGGTAAGGATGCTGTTGAAGGAGAAAAGTCCTTTTAGGCAGAGAATATTCTTTGAAGAATTATTAATCTTTCTTTCTCCTAAAGCCTTCACAAGTAGTGGGTACTTCTGAGAATGGATCTTACTGACAAAAATAATGGTAAGATTCAATTTAAAAAATAACTTTTTTTTCCATGTATACTGACCATTTCATAGTTGCACTGTGGCCTTTCTTATAAGGAGCAGAATAATGGATGCCTTTGGTAGAATATTAATGTCATCTCTCTTCTCAGGGTAACCAGATTGTTCAGGTCCAGTATTTTCTAACTAAAACTCATTTATTTTAGATTTTGAAAAGACATTAATTTCACAGCTGTATTTTCCTGCACACTGCTGTGATAAAGGCTACTGCTTTATTGATCTCTTCAAAAGGCAGTTTGCTGGAGGTGATTTTGTATCACTTATTAATTGAGACCATTGAAGGAGTTTTTAATATATGGAAGTATTTATTGGTATATGAATTTAAAGATTCTAGACTAAGTCACTTTGTTAGTGACTGATTTCACATGCTGGCTGATGTCTTTGTACTAGCTTTCAGCAAGCAGAATAAAGACAGGGTCGGAAATGGATGCAAAGGAAAAAAAAAAAAAATAGGAAAAAGAAAAGCAACCTGATAACACAAATTATCATTTGATAACACAAATGATACCTACGTATCATTTCACAAGGATTTGGAAAATAACCATCAAATCCAGTAGTTGATTGCAACTTTCATCATAAAGCTGCAGCCTCCTGCACCCCCTTTCAGCATCTGACATGTTTGGAAGGGTTATGCAAAGGAAAGCAGTCCCTCAGCAAGCAGTCTGTCTCACCCGCCTCCCACAGAACTGCAAAAGGGGTGAAAAAAACCACATCAGCTTTACAGAAGGGGTTTGTTTTTATTTTCTCATGCCATAGCTTGTTTTGCTTCTCAACCAGGGACTGCTAGGTGTACACTCCACCGAATATTGGGTTCTCACACTCTTATCAGGCCCACTTCAGATTTGTAAAACTGTTCTTCAAGGATGATTTTCTGTGCTACTGCATCATGTAATCCCTCAGAAAGCTCCTGCTCTCTCTTGCCTTTCTTTATCCTTAAGCAAGCAGTCTTTGATAGCATCTTTGGAAAATAAAGTTTAGAAAATGTTGACACCTACGTAATCCTTCTGGTTTTTAAACACAGAATGGTGAGTGAGTTTGATTGATTTGAAGATAATTTGTGTCTTGTATCTGGTGAAATCAGAATGCCAGTGTTAGATGTATTGGTTACTATCTGTCCACTAAAGTAGGACAAAATCCCTCCATACTGTAATGGAAAAACCTCTTGCAAAAAGAAACCCCAAAAAACTAAAAAACCCACTAATGTTTGTTATCATTTTTTTTACTGCACTTTAACAATATTTGAACTTTATACTTTTACAAAGAGAACAAAAAAAACAAAGTTATTTTAAGCATCTGGTAACTATTTTTAGAACAAAAAAATGTTCTGTGAAAATGTACTGTGAAAATATCCTCCAGATATTGGGTGAAACAGGTTGTTTTTTTTTTTTTTTTTTTCATTAGAGGTAGAGATAGCTACTTTTAGTTATTCTTACAACCTTTTTGAAACTATCTTCAAAAATACCATTTTTTCCAGTGAATAATAGAATCTCTTTTCTTACTGTCAAAAGCTTTTGGTCTCCCAACAATTGTAAACTTAATTTTCTGCTATCATAAGTAATGGACATTTTACTGAATGACTGCGTGGTGTTTTAAATCTTCACAGCTTTTGGAGTTGTAAAGACCTATATCCTGATCATCAGGTGAAAAATTAAATTATTAAAGAATTGAAATAATGCTCAAACCCTTGGAAAATGGACATTGACACATTTTTCTTAGAGCTAAAGACTATTACATTACAGTAAAACATGTATTAATCTGTAAATCTCACCAGGAAAGTACATACGTTCAGTAAAAAAAAAAAAAGTTGAAAATAAATGACTTTTGGCAGAATCCTCTGTACAATTTCAATAGAAGGCTTTGAAATATTGCAGGTACTTCACAAGGAAATGAAGATGCCCTTTATAAAGCAATGGTAGGTGTTGCTTCATGCTGAGGGCAAGAGTGAATTGAGAACAAAAGAAAGCAGAGTAATTATTTTATTGAGAGATGTAATTGAGAAATAACCTACATAGCCTGTGGACAACCTGAAGAGGAGATATCACTCCTGTATCTCAGTGAAGGTGTTTGCCACCTCAGCCAAGAGAACTATCCAGAACAGTGAAACAGGACACTGAATAAGTAACTAACTACTAAGATGACAATAAATAAGAAGCCACAGTCGTCATCTGCTGAACATCTCTGTCTTAGTAATGTCCATGGGGGAAAGAAGTAAAGAGAATGTGTAGGCAAGAGAAAAATGATGGAGTAGTCAGGGTGGGCCATTCTGTTTCCATAACCAGGTTCTCCCTGCAAGTCTTTGGTGTGAGTGCATTTCAGGCAGGCAGGGCAAGCAGGCAGTTTGAGATTTGTGTATCTGCCCCCATCTTTTGGGCAGTCAGTCAGATGCTCTCACTGAGCTCAGGCTCGCTGAGTGACGCGCTGGCAGCCGGGAGGGAGCGCAGGAAGCGCTGATTGATCTGCGCCTGCCCTCCCCTACAGCCATCAGCCCCAGGCTGAGTGAGGGCTGCCCAAGCAATCCTGAAGACTGGAGATAATGGCTTTAATCCTAGTGGCCAAGAGAGCAGCCAGGATTAAGCACTGTGGTTCCATTTAATTAATGACAAGTGTATTTTGCAGTATTTTAGGGAAGCTGTCAGTTTGCTGCTGTGGAGTGAAACACTATCTGGGTATCAAGCATAGTTACAGGGTTTACCTCCTGGCTTGGCTTCCTCCTGGAAATTTTACAGCCTCCAGCTGTCATAAAACACATTAAGCAGGACCTCTAAAAGCAATTTAATTTTATTTATGATTATAAAAAAAGGAGGCATAGTTCTAATGGGAAATTTGAATTATTTAACGATAGCAACAGGCAGTATGAACACAACTCCTGCCTACCACTCCACTTTCCCTTCATGGAAAAAATAGCTGTTTTTCAGAGAATTAATATTCAGAGCAGGTCCAGTTCATCTTACCTGCTGGGTTCATTTTATTATATAATAAAATCAGATTTATTCTCATTTGGGTATAGAGTATATGGCCATATAAGCATAAGCCATTTATAAACAGTTACTTTGCATGTAGTATAATGTAATACCTACTCTCCTAGGTATTTATGAGGAGTATCAAACATTACTTGCCAAAGGGCAGAGATAAAAAGAAGTGTATGGATCTGAACATTGTGCCTGGAGGTGATCACTTGTTGTGCTGGTACCTTTTCAGTTGTTCAGTCTGGAAGAAAAAAAAATTAAACAGCTGTCTAGTAAGCTTCTTTAGTGAATTTTTCTCAGTCTGGCAAACCTAAGTCTCTCTTTATATTTTACTTACAGAATGGTCTTATCGTTGCCTGTTACCAAGGTTATGTGGACATTGTAATGGCCTTAGCACAATGCCCTCACCTTGATGTGAACTGGCAGGACAACGAGGGGAACACGGCTCTAATTACAGCTGCACAGGCAGGTAAGGCTCTCTGCATCACCTCTGACATGCAGGGTCTTGGGAGGAGTGTGTGTTTAGGCTACTTAATTTTAGGATTTTTTTTCAAATCCCTGAAAGAAATTATTCTGTGTTAAGTAATTCTGGCTAAGCCCACTCCCAAATAGGTTTGTCATGATTTTCTTTGAACTAATTAATCTACAATAGTATTTATCCAGCAGATTAAGGGAGCAAAAGCTATATGTTTTTAGTAGACACCATTAATTATTTTAACTTAAGATAAAGAAAACCTCATCCCAAGTGTGCAGTATTATAGTGCTTAGTTCCTTTAAGCTGATTTTCCAATGTTTGCTCTGGTGAGCAACAATTGAGCACTGTGGACATGTAATGTGCTGCATTAGTGCTTTCCTCCCATACTCGCTGCACCTACCTCAGAGGGTCTGTAGGAATTGATGACTGTAGGAAAACATATCATCATTAAGAAATACCTTATCTGCTAAGACATCCTTCATCCACTCCACAGCCGAAAAGTAAAAAACCTCAGCAGGATTTAGGATTTGCCAACGATCCTTTTGTAACACCTGATATCAACATCAACCATGTTAATCCTGATGCAGGCTGGAGTTTAGCACAAGGTTTTTCTTTTATCCCACCCAGCATGGTAATGTACAGTGAATGAGTCTTACAGATCACTTAGATGTCAGAGAAGCTTCTGGGAGAGTTCCTTGCTTCCAGTGTTCAGTTAGAAAACAATCATTTGGTTATTTCTGTTTAAACTGAAGGGCTGTGCTTCAATCTTTAAGGGAAGGTTTAGTTTCCTCTAATGAGTGTCAACAAAGTGCTAAACCATGTAAATCAGGAAAAATTTCTCCAAGGAAGGAAGCCATCACTTTGTAGTCTAAAAGCCAGGGGCTGCCTGGCTCTGCATCTCCGGTTTCCTTTGCATGTTGTAAGGCACTCTGCAAAGGCAGTCACTTTCCGAGACAATTCACAGCTGGCCTTTATCATGTCTGCTGACTGGTGAAGAGTCTGGGATGTTTGTGGGAGCTCGTTTGTGGGACATAGTTCTCACTCCTAGACACTGGCTGCCTGAAGGGAGCAAATTTCTATCCGGGAGCATCAATGGGCATTACAAGCCACGTCTAAAGATTGGAGCAGTTCGGTTTCCATATCAATTTAGTAATAGTGCCACTAGACATATCCAGGTAGTACCTAACCTTGCTTTGTATTGTACCAAAAAGTGAACTCTGTGAAAGTTCCTGCAAGATGGGTCTTGAATACTGGAAGAAAGAACTGTGACCACATTCATAGCAAAGTCATGAGTAGAGTAGCTTTCCAAAGAAGGTGGAAAAGTCCCCAAAACACTAATCTACTTTTATTTATCTCCCCTAATATAAATTTGAACTAAAAAAGGTTTAACACTGCCTCCTTCTTGACCTTTATAACTCATGATAATGAGCTCAGAATTAATCCAGTGGGCTGACATTGATTTGACACTCTCTGCCAGTACTTGCTATTGATCCCAAAAGCAACTGGAAATTACTGTAGTCAACAGTCAAACCCCCAACAACTTGGATGTTTTCCCCTGCCTGTGCTAATCCTGAGCTACAGGGTTTACACCAATACTGCTGCAGTGTTAATAGAGATTGCTGTGAGGCTAATACTGCAACCAGAGGAGTTACAGTGCAATAGATGCTGCTTAATTATTGCTGGATGTTAAGTAGTAACACTGAGCAGTCCATTATAAAGACCTGAAAACAAAGCTTATGCAAGCTTGCCTTCAGTGGAGAATTTACTTGTTGGGGGAGGAGTTAACTTTAGGCTGTGAAAGTAATCACACTTTTGCAAAATAAGTTATTCTGAAATCACTGTTGTTTATACCAAAACTATGGGATTTGCTGTGGAAAGTGTAATAGCAAATCCACATTATTTCAGGTATCTGTGAGATGGTATTTGAAGGTTTCAGAAAGTGCTCCCATTTTTGTTATGATCCACTGCCAGGTGGGCCATCGTGTATGGCCAGACCCCAAAGGGGAGCTGGATGGGAAAAATCATGTGGTCTTGAGGAGTTGTTCCTTGTGTATAGATACCAAAACAGATGACAAGGACTCTTCACTTGTGCTGAGGAGTTTAAAATCCACATTTGCCTCTGCCATTTCATGACTGCCCAGACATGATGCTCAAATATGAGCATCAGCTTGAAATAAATAGGATTAAATTAAAGAGCAACTAGAGTCTCAGAAGATGAGTGAATTCAGTTTCTCATATTGCTTTTGATAATTTGAGATTCTCATCCTCCAACAAAAGTATCTAAGGCTGAAGTTTTCTGCATGGGCTGATCAGAGAAAGACAGGTTGGGAGGATCAGTGAAAAGCAGTTCTGTCTTAACAAGCTTATTAATATAGAAAAATAACCACAAAGTGCTCTGCTTTGTGTGTAAATGTCACATTTGAAAATTGGTCTGTTCGCCTGCTTTCTCTATGTTTCCTATTTCTTATATCCCTTTTCAGAGAGAGCTTGCCTTCCAGAACTGTAAATGCATTGCAGTCTGCAGCAGGTGGTGTCCAGAAATGGGTGGTAATGCTATTGAAGCAGAAGCAAAATCATTAAACATCATTACAAGGACAATGCAGAAAAAAAGGGGAGATTGATACAAACATGTGGTTGAAATAACAAGTGGAAAAGGAAAAGAAAGAAAATTACAAATTTTTTTCCTCAGTTCTGCTGCTGATGGGGACATAGCTACATCAGTGTATGGTAATTGGCATGCACTTGTGCTCAGAGGGAGTTGTATTTGCTTACAAAGTATACATGTTTTATGTTACAGCCACCAGTTTGAGAGCCTTGCTGGGAACAAAATTGGAAGCTATCCCAGTTTCTGTTTATTAAGAAAGACATGAGAACACAAACACCTAAAACACCCAGAAGATAAAGCCTTCTGGGTGTCTTTGGTTCCATCCATCTGTGAGGAAGCATTCGCTGCCCGCAGGCCAAACACAAGAATTTTGCAGGTACAATTCAGGAGTGAGATGTTATTTGACAAAGGGTCTTCCTTACTATGCAGCTTATCCTTCTGCCTGCATTACACAGATTATTAGGTAATATTGTCATCATTACAGGCCCTTCCTTTGTGGCAGCAATTAAGTGAATTAAGCTATTACAGACATCTGTGCTGATCTCTAAATATGGCTCGCAGGGAGAAGAAGTGAGCCCTTGGCGTGCCAGTTCTGGTAGGAAGTAGATCTGGCTTGCAAATAGCAAAAGCCTGCTTTGAATTCAGTGTTGCCAAACGGGCTGAGCCCAGGCTCGTTTATTTTAGAGCTGCACAGGGCTTTCACAGCAGACTTTGCATCACAGGAGGCTCACCCAGTTTATAAATTAGGTACAGGCTGCTCGTTCACGCAGACACAGGAGAACCAAAGCAAACTTCATGGCATTAAATCAAAAGTGTACGACGGGGTTTGAACTAAAACTTGGCAGCTCTGAGTTTTGCTTTGAATTTGATATCTGTTTGAACTGGAAATCTGAAGCAAAACCTCAGAGGACAGAAGATCCTCCAGATTAAAACTGATTTTCAGGAATCCCTGAGACACAAAACTTCTGTGAATCACAAACTTCTTAATTTTCTTTCATATTTTGCTGCTGGTTTGTTTTTTTGGTTTTTTTTTTTTTGTGTCTAATTTGAAGTCACTTCTAGTCCCCTGGAGAGTTTTGGTTAAGAAAGGTCTTTCAGGATTAATTCTTAGGATCACCCCAGATTTGCAAAACATCTCCTACTGTAATTATACTTTTGGCAAAAGGAAGAACATCTTCAGTGATGTAATAACTGCTGAAAAATCTTCCATTTTATTATTTCTACTTCTTTCAGCTTGTCTCTAGTCTTTGTGGTCAAAAAGCAGGGTTTTGTTCCAAAGCCTTCATGAACCTTCATGATGTTGCACGTCACTGAATCAGAGCATGTCCTGCAAAACAATTTGGGCACTAAGATTCTCCCAGTAGCAACTGACTCCTTTCTAGGATTTGATTTTATGCCATAGAATCAGCAAAGCTGAATTCTCTGTATTGAGCAAGCAGGACTAGGCCACTTGATCCTGCCCTGAACACAGTTCGCTTTTGCTTTGTTCAGCTTGTTGTGGTTTGATGAAACTTTATATTTCATTCTCATCAGACTGCTCAAGGTACAGGGAGCTTTTTATTTGGTTTTCTCTGGCTCTGGAGTTGCTCATCTGATCTGCATTATCTCTACATCTGCTCAGGTTTCATGAGAGTCTCCAGTTATGCAGAAAGGTAACAGAGTAAAAAAAATAGGAGAGAAAGAGTAACACCTGCAACACAAATTAATTGGTAAAGACTTTCTTAACTTGCTTTTCAAAATGAATGGAGGACTGTGTTGGTACAAAGTGGCTGCTGATGAAATGTACACCAGATGTGATGCTACAGACTTTTAAAATTGTCCTGTATGAATTCTAATCTGCTTCAGTAATATTTCTAGATGAATTTGAATGGCATGCATCACAGAATAGTCATCTGGTCTGCAGAGCAAAATGAGAGAATATTTTTACAGCTCTTGCTAATTAAATTGTGATTGTTGCAGCTGCCTGACAGACGGCATTATTTTATAGAGCATCAAAGCATCATAAAATGATTGACAAGTGAAGGGAAAACTGTTTTGAATGAGTCATAATGGCCCTAACTATTCATCTGATAGTCCAATTATAAAGATTTGGTGTCTTAATTGCTCTTCCAACCATTTAGCCAGAGATGTGTTCAGCTCCTCCATATAGCCTTGTAGACACCAGTTATCCTGGCACACAAGGCCCATGAATGGCAACAACAGTTGCTTTTAGAAACAGAACTTAAATAATTTATTTTACTACCAAAACTGAACATCAATCCAATTTCCCAACTGCAGGAAAGTAGACAAGTGGCTTTACACTGTCAGATGGAAAAATAAAAATGTGGGATGCTACACAAAATATTCCTTGCTCTTGTATCAGGCCTGGCATAATTTGAAAGCATTGTTAGCTGGAACAACTATGTGCAGTCATCACTTTTTAATGAAGCAGCATGATTGTAAGGCTCAAATTTACCAGGGGAAGGAAAAAGCTGAACCTTTGCAATAAGTTGCCCCTGGTGATGGGGCATCGGGTGTAGGGATTGCCTCTGCAGTGCTACTCACAGGGTCAAGAACCTGGGGCCCCTTGCAAACTCAGAGTGACCATTTCTGGTCTTCAATTATTTTCTTACCTTAAACTGACTTTTCAGAAAGGAGAGCAATTCAAGAGAAGGTAGGAACCCAGATTTTCCACCTCCTATCCCAATATTCTGGTCAAAAGTCAGGGCCACTTAATCCTAAGGCTGATGACAGTGTTGAATGGAAGAGGACACAAAGAAAAGATATCTTATTAATTATCTGCATTTTCCAGTTATCAGACCTGCAGGAGTAAATTTTTGGTTTATCCTTGAGACAGCACCTGCATTGTATGACATTTTCTCTGCTTTTTTGTTTCTTTAAAGGGCACATAACCATTACAAACTATTTGTTGAACTATTTTCCTGGGCTTGATATTGAGAAGAGGAATGCGTTTGGATTCACAGCCCTGATGAAATCTGCAATGCAGGGCCGAACAGAATGTGTGAAAGCCTTGATGATGGCAGGTATGCAAAGTGCTTTTCTTCGTCTTTGTCAACATCTAACAACTACCAAGAATAAAATTGTCTCTTGGGATGTTTTTGCTCTGAGAACTGTGGTACAGCCTTTCCTGGAAATCTGTGCAGCTTTTAAATAAGCCTTAGTCAAGGCAGTGAAGGCACATGCTGCAGGAGTTTGCTTGTACAACCTCACCCAGGAGCTCTCCTAGAGCTGTGAAGGTGAGATTTATTGTCTCCAGGAGAGTCTGGGGAGCAGGATCACCAAAATTTGTAGAACATGAGTTGATGAAATCCATGACACAGGTGGGAAAGACATGCTGGTCGCTGGCTGCCATCTCTGCGTGTGGCAGACACTGCAAGGGTGAGGTCACAGCCAGACCTTCATTTCTGCCTTGAACTGTGCTGGAGACTGGAAAGCTTTGGGGGCTCCAGACCCTGTCAGGAGTGTTGGGTGTAGGGGCCACATCCCACCAGGGAACACTGGTGGGAAATCTGGTCACTCACTTTTTGTTAATGCCTCTACAGCTCTGAGTTTGGTCACCAGGTTTATGAGCAACCACCAGGTCTGTGCCTGCTGCAAGGAGGGAGCTGTGGCACAGGGAGTGAGCAGGTCCCTCTCTGCCCACCTGTCTCTCTACACAACTGAGAACAGGAATTATGTTTTTTGCTCTTGGCTCTTGTCTGCTGTTGAATTTCTGGCTGTGTTGCATTGCAAGGTGAAGGGGTCCTGGAGAGGAGAATCAGAAGGCCCCTTGAGGGGCAACAGCCTCTACAAGAGCAGTCCTAACATACAGCATTTTTCAGCCACAATATTGTATGGGTTTTTTGATATGAAGTAATTGGTATATAAACTGTTAGATAACGATTAAATAACTAGTTTCTATTACTATGTATACTTGTTTTTCAGATGCAAATATGAAAACACAAATTAAATATTGTGGAAATAATAACAAATGGCATGTGAATATTGTTACTGTCTAGATCAGGAGTCCTACAGGTCCATATCAATGGGAGAGATCTTGAACAAGGAGTTCATTTCAGTGATTTTGCTGTCACAAGAGTCTAACCCTTCATAATCAGAGTATTTTAAGTCACACGATTTTATCAAGCATAGTGATATTACTATCCTTCATTCCATGATATTACTGTCCTTCATTCCATAATATCCAGTTTCTAGACATTGATATGACACAGAAGACATGATGTGGTAACTAGTGTGTTATTTTCTGCTAGGTTCTGTAGCCTCTTACTCTGGAACAAAGGCTTAGGAACTGGATCATTCATTTTAAATTTTTATGACAGAAAATTATGAAACTACTGTCAGAGCTTGAATACCACTAGAAACAGATGTACTTTCTGGACTCACACATACATCATGCAGATGCTAGTTCAGAATTTTCCAGTGAGTGTTATAAATCATTACTTAAAATGAAACTTCAATCCTATGATTTTCTGACTTGTCAAATTTGCCTTATGGTGTCATGACCTATTATTATCACTTGAGATCTGAGGGAAGCTTGTTCTTTCTGTTTGGGTCACTAGAAGCTGTTTTGCAACCTTTCATCTATGCAAATAACACAGTACTTGTTATTCTGATTCTTATACTAAAATATTATTATCAAAGTTCACTTCTGTGGTTACTGCCTCTGGCATCTGAATAGCCATTTCTTGTTTCCATGATTCATAAAAAACCAGAATATTGGGGAGAACAAACCTTTAGACAGCCAGAAAATGGGTTTTTTTAGCCTCCATCTTGGGTTTGCCTACAGAAAGCTTTATCAGCCTATTTTTGCATCAGAGATAGAGAGGATACCCAAGGTCATCCACCAACTAAAGATCTAGCAAGTTAATATACTTTTGATTTTCTGAATTGCAGTTTCAGTGAGTACTTGCAGTTCCTCACATTTTCAGCTCAAATTAGAGGCCACAAAGGAAGCGCAGTAATTTGCCTTCACCCATTTTAATATCTGAGTATTTTTTAGCACTGCACAGTCTGGTGAAATGGAGGGAGGGAAGGAGGGAAATTCTCATTCAGAATGGATTTAGAAGTAGTTTGAGATTTAAGAGACACTGAGTGGGTGCTGACAATTAAGTACTAGTGAGCTGCAGAAGGTAAAAAACATTATTAAAAGATTTGGTGAAAAAATCAGTTTCACAAATAAAGCAGCAAAATTTGATATTAAAATGTAAAAATGCATGGCAACATAGAGGGGAAACACCCATAATCTGCTGTGGGTCTCCTTGCACAGCTACAAAGCAGTTATGTGTGTTTAGAAAAGAGTTACAGCCAGGAGGTTTTAAACCTGGTATCCATTCAGAGGCTTGGGTAAGACCTCTGCTGATGGCAATGCAGGAGGTCAGCAAAGCAAAATAACTCACCTTCCTAGCTGCCTTAGCATGGATTCAGCACAGTCAGATGGGGAAAGAGGTGACAGCAATGTGTGACAGATGGTCGGAGCTGGATTGCCAAAGTGACTGCTCTTTCTGAAATTTGAGTTTGTGGAGGGGGGGCAAGGTCAATCACTACAAGATTAAGGCACTCTGAGACACTTGGCCATAGCGTTGCTCTTTCAGAGGGAGCCTTTGGAACATGTGAATTTGCTGTTTGTGAGCACACAGCGGGTGAAGGGGGGCCCCTCTGCCACTGGCAGTTTGTCACAGGCTGCTGCGCTGCCAGCACCACGCCGCTGCCAGCACTCATCAGGGGAGCCAGCCAGAAATGCTGGTTGCTGTTCACGTGTCAAGCCCTGCTGTAATCTCCAGTCTAAACTCAGTGCTGCTTTAGTAATGCTGGCAGAGTGGCCCTGGATCTGGAGACTGGGCTTTAAACACCACCCAAAAAACAGGCTGGCAACAAACACCTGAGTCTCTTCAGCCCCATCTTTAAACTCAAGACGCCTGTTCTGCACCTCAAAAGGACTTGAAGTCTTAATAAAATAGGATATTTATATCCTAAAGGAGCATGCGTGTTCAAATTAATTGTGCTGAAAATGATCTTCAGGGAAACTTCTAGGAAAAGCAAGGCAAGTGGCAAGTGCAGCATTCCTGAAAGAAAACTTGTAGGCTATAGTTACACTGAAATGACAATTAGTTCTATAAGACTGCTATCACATTTACAAAGGGACATGACTACTCATGTATATTCTAGATAAGGCATTCTGCTGAATGACAAGTTTGTTCAGGAATGTATCATGATTTGCACAGAAAATCAATAAAACTATGGTGAATAACACCTTAGGAGAGATTTTGTGATACAAGGTAAAAAGTCAGCATTGATTTCTCTTGGTAGGTTGGGATTTCAATACTCTGTAGTATTGTTTTCTGAGACAGTTTCCAAAACACCTGGGGAGCCATCTGTCAGAAAGAATGGGCTTCTCCTCAGAGGAAGATGAGCCAAGGGTGACAGCACCAGCCTCATCAACAAAGGTGTTCCTTTGAGGAACGTGGCAGGGCTGGTGTCAATAACCTGAATCAGGCAGCACTGCAGTGATTGCCAGGCAAGTCCATGATAACAAAGACAAGTTCATAGAGTCAAGGTAGGTGTGAGGCAAAACAAGAAATTATGTCTATGGGTCAGGGTCCAGGCCAGCAGGGCACAGGCATAGCCCAGACAAGGACCAGAGCTGAGTGCAGCCCCCAAGCAAAGGTGAGGAGCCCCCACTGAGCACTTTCTCACACTGCTCTTTTTGAACTACTCTGCTCCAAATTCTCACAGCTGCACCATATCAGAACTGAAATGACTTTTTCTTGAAGATAATGGTAAACAGCTGTCTAGATCTCTTGCTTGTTTACAAGCTGAGAATTAAATTTTTTATTTGAAGACAATTCCTTTAGCTGCTGTTCTTCCTGTATTAATTCCTTGCCTGTTATATGTACATCAAGGAAACAACTTCCACATAATTTGCCACAGTCACAGTGAGCTCTTTTGGGAAGGAGCTCAGATTCAGGCAAGTATTAAGAAGGGACTAGGGAAAAAGGCTAGTGTGAGATGAGGGAAATCCAAAGATAGGAAGTTTGGGTCGGGAGGTTCAAAAAGAGGTTAGGAAGCAGGAGGTATGTGTTGGTCTGCCTTTTTCCCACCCCTCTGTGATTTATCTGTAATTTCTACAGTCATGAACTTCATCAAACCATTCTGCCTCTGAGATCCTTTCTTCAAATCCACATGAACTCTTTGATTCGTTCCTTCTCTTTGGCTTCTTTCCACCTTCCAGGCCGGGTCCCGTGCTTGACTCCCTGCAGTGCCCTGGTGCTCTCTCTCTGAGTGTCCTTTCTGCAAATTTCACTTAAATTATACTTTAACTGTTATCAGCAATTTTGCTTAGGGTGTCTCCTTCCACATCCATTCTTGATCTATGTCTCCAGCATCTTCTCTTTAGGGATATTCTCAGAGACTTAGGAACTAGCTTAATAAAGCTGAGATTTTTATCACTTTTCCCGTGCTCTCTTTTTGCCTTTATCTTCCTCTAATGACAAAACGTCCTTTGTGGGAAAGGTTATACTGAACCCACCACAAACTGGATTGTGGTTGCTTTTCCTTATATCAAGTACTCCTTATTCCAGTTTGAAATGCTGTCTCCAAGATAATCCACCTGGAAAAAAAATTAGTATTATTTTATGTACCAGTATTCTGGTAACAGTCTCATTACCAGTATTCTCTGGTCCTTTCCTCAGATTTCTGGACATCTCCTTCTTGTGAAGCAATGGGATAGACTGTCACTTTTGTGACAAGATCTGTGTGGGTCAGTTTTGTGTTGTCTGTTTGAAAATGGTCCTTCATCTGGTAAAGAAGCCCTTCAATAAGTCAAATGTTCTTTGTATCCCAGCTTTAAACTCTTTCAAGAAACCCAGAAACTGTCTGCAGGGACAGAGATATGAGTAAACCATGACTAAATGTTGCAGAGCTCAGTATGTTGAAGGCAGCTGGGCAAAGTGCCCGTGCCTGTCCCAGGGAACAGATCTGCAGAACAGTCTGCAGACTGGAGCATGCAAAGCTCCCTCTGAGATCAGTCAAAGTTCAGAGGCAGAATATAAACCAAAGGATTTTCAGTTTAAGAACCTGTCTGCCTGAAACCAGAGAGTATTCCCTCACTCTCCCATTGATTTCATTCTTCACCTTCATACCCATGTACTGTAGAGCATCAAGGTGTGTGTGCCCAGGATCACTTGGATGCAAAGCCCAGGATATGGTGCCAGTTGTCAAGTCCTTGACACGTCTCTGAGATTCTTTTTAATTGGTGCCATCAAGCCAATTTTTTGACAGGTCTTTTGTATCCTTTAGCATTCACCAGCTGTAATCTGCTGGCTATTTGCAACAGTGTCCTGCCAACTTCAGCTTCCAGAACCACTTGCTGCTGTTCATTGTTCTGCAGCAATTCTTCCACAGGTGCACTTTGGATTGAGCTTCCTGTGTCCTTTACAGAGCTCTTCTTTGTCAGCAGGACTGGGCACACGCCATCCTCATTGACAAATGCCCACAGCTCCACCCTAATGTCATGGGAAGACTTCCCTGCAATTTTCAGGTTGCCAAGGAATGTGGGTATGATACTAAGGAAGTTGTAAAGGATACCATGGGGCAGACTGGGATGTCTGCTTCTCATGATATTCTTGTATCCTCTTTTCAAGAGCCCCCAAGTGCCCCGGGGAAGAAGAGTGTAACTCCACTTGAAAACAAGAGGGAAGAAGAAGGGCAAAAGCCAATGTGTGAGGTCTTAGTGGAAGATGGAGAGATCAATGGAGAGATCAAAAGAAATGCAAAGATGAAAAAGGATGCAGAAATATGTGAGAAAAAAAAAGAATGGTGATGGGGACAGACGTCAGAATCAGAGAGATTAAGATCATAAACTGGGAATGGGAGGACAGGCCACTTGAAATAATTTCCTTCCAGGACAAAACACTTCAAATGTCTAAGCCTCTGCTGTGTAGCCTGTATCCCAGCTGCCTTTTATGGCTGATCCACTTAGCAATAACAGAATGTTTTGGCTAACAGTTACTTCATTTCCTTAGGCTTGTTATCTCAGGTAGGTGAGACCAGCTGTTCTGGGTTCAAACTGAAGGTCCATCTCACCCATTATCCACTCTTGGACATTTATGGATACTTTCCTTATATTTGATCACCCTTGTTACCATCTTCTCAACATTTCCTAATTCTACAGGGTCCTTTCAGACATAAGAAAGCATGAATTGCACATTTTTTACTTTCTTTTTTTCCCCCCCATTTTTAATGGAAATACTTTAAAAGAAATTAATTTTATTTTATTTACTGTTTTTACCCCTAGTGAGCAGTGAGTGGATATTTTCATGAAACTTGTGATTATTAGCCTAAGACCTTTCTTCCAAGTGGATGTGACCAGTAGAAAGTTCACTATTCGATACGGGGAAGGATTTCTTTATAGAGAATTGTTTCTTTCCATATCTGTAACTCTTTTCTTGTGAGCTCAAGTGAATGGATATTAAAATGGCAGTCAAGATTAAATGCAGGTGAAACTCATTATTTCATTATTTGTAATTTTAAGAGAATTTCATATATGCACTCTTAATGCCTTTTACCTTGTTTTAAATACATAAGGAGTTCATAAAGTCAGGAATCAGATGTATCCTTATTGTATGTTCATTTTGACACAAATATTATTGTGTATTTTCTGTGACATTTTCATGTAGGGATCTGCCTGACTCACCTCTGATAACAGAAATGTGGGTGTTTTAATTAATTAATGCTAATTGTTTTTCTTTTGAGGGGCAAATGTTCATGCAACTGACCCAAGCCGGGGACTGACTTCATGGGAATGGGCTTGTTTCACAGGAAGATCAGAGTCTGCCTTCGTCATGCAGAAGCTGATGGACAGGCCATGCCCAGAACAGTTTTCTGATCAATATAAACCAGAATGGCCAAAAATGAAGGAACTTCTTGCCAAGGCTGCAGAGCCAAAAAGCTGCTTGCAGAAGATTTCTGAGTGTGTAAGGGCTGCTGTCTCGTTCCGGTCTTTCTATGGCCCAGAAGAGGATGGGGTTCTTGACCACATGGTGAAGGTGACAACAAGTTTGGGAAGTCCCTTCATCGCCCTGGGGTGCCGGACTGTGTGCCCAGGCAGCCCACCTTGTGTGGGGAAACGCAGACTGGCAGTGCAGGAGATCCTTAGGAAGCAGAGAGCAGAGGAGATCCGATCTCAAGACAAGGATCACGTTAGCAGCTATGAGAAGCTCTTCCAGAACTCCAAAGTCACTGTGGTCCCCAAGAAGAAGGAACGAAGAGCCAGCCTGCAGCCCATCAGCATGGCCATGTCCCAGGTGACCACAGTAGCCACGAGGAAAGCAAGTCTGCTGCCGCTCCACCTGCTTCGACGGAGCAGTGTCCGGCCGGGATTTGTCATCCCCAAAGTCCGTGTCAGCAAGGCTCCTCCGCCCACCTTCCAGCCAGAAAAGGCCAGGAGGAGGAGCAGTGCCAAGGAGGACCCCTATCTGCAGATTCCCAAATGGAGATACAAGGAGCTGAAAGAAGAGCGGAGGAAGGCAGAGGAGCTGGAGAAGAATAGAGCAGCAGAGGCTCAAAAGCCCAGGCAGGTGTCTCCTGCCCAGAGCAGGACCTGATTTGAAGGCAGCTGCTGAGAAGGTTCTTGAGCTGCTAGTCTTGTTATCCCAGCAAGGTAACAGACTGAATGCCTTCGTGCGTGCCCACTGCTCATGGAGCTGGAATACTGAGTCATGGCAGGAGCAGGAAAGGAGCAGAAATACAGCAAGGGCTATGCCACAGCAAGTCTGATGGTGGAGCAGGAAGATGCTTTGAGCTGGAAGACTTACTAGGTTTACTGGTCTGCTGTTGACAGGACATTCTAAGTGGTGCAGTCCTCTTATGGATTCCTGTTTTTCCAGCTCCTGGTGAATGACTGTGAAACAGTTTGACAAACGTGTTTGAAAGGATCGTATTTTGTGTTTGTTCATTTTGTAATGGACAAAATTAAGGAGTTGTGCTTTTGACACTAGACATTCCTCCCTCTTCTTCCTTAGGTAGACATATTGCAAAGGTTTATAGTAATAATTAAAAGTTTAAAATTTACCACAGTGTTGGTTGGCAGTGAAAATCCAGGTCTACAATTGTTTTGGATATACTAAGCACTTTATTTCTATTCCAGTTAACAGATTTTAAGTACAGGTCTATACAGTCTGTATGGATGCAGTTCCTAATGCTATTGTTTATTCTGTTGAACCTAAAAAGGGCTTAATATGAAATATCTGTGCAGTTGAGGTATTCACATCTTCTGCAAATATAAATCAGGTGCATGGAGTGATTTGAAGAAATATAGAAGATGAGACAGTTTCTTTCTTTGAAGAAATATAGAAGATGAGACAATTTTTGATTGCCACCACCACCTAAGATATGCCTCCTTCAATAGATTTCCCTTTATCCATTATCTGTTGTCTCCTTTTTAGTCTCAGGGAATATTTTGTCATTGCTTTTAACTGTGAAATAAGGGAGATGGTGAAGCACAGTGGATATTTTTTAGGTTGATATTAAAGTTTCTTTTTAAAAAACTCACCAGGTTTATTGTTAGCCTTTCCAGAATATAGCCAGGACAAGAATATTATGCAGCTTCCAGAGGTTCAACCAACTTTCCCAGGTGTCAAGTGCAGCTACAGGCTGTGAATACCCAGTCAGAGGTGCAGTACCAGGCAGCTCAGCCACTGATGTGGCCAGATGTCACTGTAACCTTGGGTACCACACCTCTGGGTGCCCGAGGAGGGCAGTACCTCACCCCCTGTTTCCACACAGGGAGAAAACTTTCCCTTGTATGGAAGTGCATCTCCAAGTGGCAGTTCCCACAGGTTGCTGCAAGTTTTTGTGCTCCTTTAAGGATCCATTAAGGATTCCTCTGGTTGTACCAGTCGTCAGGCTGAACAGCAAGCCAAGCCCTGGCAGATTCTGGTCAGGAAGGGCTGTGAACCTGCTGCTTGCTGAAGAAAGACCATGCTGATAGAAGTAGAGGTCCAATGCAAACAGCACAGAGCACGTGCTCAGGGTAAGGTTTTGCTCAGGCTTTGCACACATTTCAACTGAAATGTGCTGCAGTGTGTCCTCCTGAAGGTGTTGCTGTGCTGGAGCCCAGGCAGACCCCAGCAGCTGCTGCTGCTGTCACCAGTTTCTCCCCTCAATTAAAGAGAGGGAAAACTTTTCCATCCTTTAGTCCCACAGCACAGAGGCTGGCTTTAGTCTCACTGAATTTGTAATGAAACTGTGCATGCCATGGGAGAAATAAATTCAGTTGATTGAAAACTGGAGCCCAGATCAGCACTGCCATTTCCTGTCTGAGGGGTCTGACAGGGGTTAGGACAGATGTGGGAGACAAAGATTTTTCCACACAGCCTGTTCTTTGTACTTCCGTGCTGGCCAGACTGCAGTGCCAGGTGGCCTCCTGGGTCAGAGCTGGAGGAATATGCACCTGCCAATACACCTGCCCAGTCCTGGGAATATGAATAGCAGTTTAATCTGTAAGTGCATCAGGGCTGTGCAATTCATAGGCACCAATTTTTTAATGGCTTTGGGGTGACCAGAGTACAAGTTGAACTCATTTCTCTGGAAAGCAGGCAGACAATCTTTTGGCTGGCTGTGGCAAAGGTATCAGGATAGATTTCAAATTGGTACACTGGATTGAATGGTTTAACTGTTAATTTTTGTTTACTGCCAACCCAGGGTTTTGAAGATTTAGTACTCAGATTTGGTTCTGAAAAGCAACCTGTGCTACAGCTGAGCACTTGAATTTGCACTTTCAGTACCACCTGCAAGAGACCGACAATTGACAGGTGCACTCAGGGATTAATGAACAGTATGTTAGAATTAGGGGCTGGAAATTAAGCCTATTTTCTAATCCTTTGTACTTTACTGTGTTCATGTGCATAAATGTGATATTTCCATTAAAAGAGGCACAAGATGTTAAACTTATTTGGCACGCTCATTCTTCAGAGGGGTTTTGGGATGCTGCCTTTCACTTTCCAGTGGATCTAAAAGCCGTTCACTTTCACCAAAAGACTCATCAGCATCACCTAAAAGTTGTTTGGTTTCCATGCAGTTATTGTGGGTTAACTTCCACTCCTATTGAATTTTTCCCTAGGAGTTAAGGAAAACTGTTGCTTTTGTTTCCCATCAGGTTTTCACTGGTCATCTTGCTGGAGAAAGAAGTCATTGCTTTTCTGGCCTGTGTCCATGCTCTGCTGCAAGCACGTGGTCTCCCAGAATCCTTGCTGAGAGTGTGACTCCACTTGAGGCATCTGTGTAAAGCTTTGCACTTGCTAGTTTTGGCAGGGCAGGCCATAGGTTTCTGTGTCCTCATTGCCTTCCTCCCCTGCTGCCTCTCTGATCTCCTGCTATCTTCCCCTCTTCATCATTGTCCTCACCCTAAAGTCTGCACCCCTCACTTGCTGTTTACCTTACCTGTCTGAAGGTTGCAGTGGGCAAAGCTCCCACAAAACTCTTCCTGAAACCTGTGGCAAAGGGACCACAGTGGAGGAGGATGAGGAGGAGGAGGAGAAGAAGGCACACCTGGCTTGCTTTCAACCATCTGTCCCCTTGAACTGCTGCTGCCAAGGAGGATTTGAGTTCTGTTGGATTTCAGCACAAATAGAGTGGCTTGATCTGTGTTTTGTTGTGGATTTCTTTTCTCCCAAGAGATCCATAACAATGAAATGCCAGGCAATACTGGCTGCACTTCAGGTTGCTCCTGGTCACTCAAGCAGCACAGTTTACCTCCTAAAAAAGAGCAAGCAAACCCTTTGCAGCACCTCCTGGCAGCTGGAGCCCCTGAGGGAAGGCAAAGGTGCTGCTGCAGAAAGATGTTCTCAGAGGGAAAAGGGACATTAATTCCTAGGGCAGAGGGAGGTTTTCTACCTGCCTTCAATGCCAGGCTGTAGTGTGGCACATTAGTGGGAAGAATGTCCTGGAGTGCTGTAACTGGCATGGGGGCTGTGTCTGCCATCACAGCCATTCCTTGTCTTGGTACCCTGGGATCATCTCACCATGGTGCTCCCAGGAAGCTCCCAGCCCCATGGGCCAACCTAGTTCTGCAGTAATTGTACTAACAGGGATTTAATGACAGTGACAGTGGAAGGTGGAAATCCAACTGCTTCCCAACATTTTCTAAAATTATATTGTGCTCTCATCTCTGGTGAGGAAGAGCTTCAGCATGGGGGTTCCCAGAAGGCACCATCTTCCCCATCACCCAATATCAGCCACTGTGCTGGCCACCATCCAAGTAAGGAAAAAAGCTAAAAAGTATTCATAGATACCTCCAAAGGTATCACAGGCTGTCACAGTATTAGAAAAGAAGCCTGGAAAATGAGAAGGGCCAACTCATTCTGGAGAGCAGGAATTTTCTTCTGTTTGGCAAATTCCTATGTACAGCTAAATATAGCACTTATGGAAAACTTCATGAACTCTGGACCCTTTCTGCTTTGGCTGTGGAGCTGCTGACCACTGGGAAGTATAAATGATATCAGCCAAATTCATGCTGAGACTGAGATGTGCTTTATAATGCTAAATATGGATATCCCAGACTGGGCAAACTGGATGCTCCAAATCAGTTCCCCACCTATATAGAGACCTATATAGACACCTATATAATTAAGTAATTTTAATTACACATGGTATTACACTTAACCATACCTATAAAACTACCTGCAGATAACAGGCACACATAAACACTATTCCAGTATAAAGTAATAATGAGATACATATATAAAATATATAGATACATACATAATTTAAATTGTTTAACACATGTACATATAAAAAGCCTCTTACCTCCCGGTGATAATGTGGAGCACTTATATATGTTAATGATGACCATCTCTCAAAAAGACAGTATTAAATAATTGTTCTGTGAGAGGAGCAAATAATTTGGGGTATATTATAGAGGCTACAAAGGGAAAACAGACCAGCTGCCTTTTTCACTGAACACTATGGAGCACTTGCATGAGAAGAGGCAGGGGATTATGTGAAAATTGTACTTCATTGGGTAATGAAGTTATTATGCACATTAATTTTGCCTAGTCAGGTTTAAATTTGCCACTTCTCTTGGCACATTAGAATTTACAATGGTTGTAGCATGCTTTTATATCTATAAAACTGTGCACAGGTTTGTGGATAATTAGTGGGCCAAATGCTCCTGTTTCAGTTGTCTCTCAGGGAAAGAGAAGAGGTTGGGAAAATGGATTCAGTAGTTCATTTTCCCCTTCCTGTTGTAGCAGTTTCCCACACTAATGCCAGTTTGTTCTTTGCCCAAGCCCTTCCTCCAAAACAGACAGAAAAGGAACAGAAACCTTCCAGGGGCAGATGTGCAAAATCTGTGCTCGCGGGTGCCGTCCTGGATACATGCAGTGATTTCCCACAAGGCACTGATGGAGCAGCGAGCTCCTGTGAATGTGGATCAGGAAAGGGGCCCAGGAACTGCTGGAACATCTCTGCTCCGTGTGTGTGTGTGCCAATGGGGTTTTTCCTCTTGGTGCCATAGTAACTGAAGTCAGCTCAGAGAGGTGTTAACCACCAAAGGTGCTTCCTGAGCCTCTGTGCACAGCTTTCTGCTGACAAAGGTGATAAAATA